CACACACACTCTCTCTCACACACACACACACTCTCACTCACACACACACACACACACTCACACACACACACTCTCACACTCACACTCACACTCTCTCTCACACACACACACTCACACTCACACACACACACTCTCACACTCACACTCACACTCACTTCAAGCAAATTAAACTTGTTTGTAGGACCATTATAATGTCTTGCTTTATTTCATGACAATTAAACATTCACATCCTAAATTCTCACTATTGCTCAAAAAATGTATTCTCTTCACTGTAATGTGAACAAATTACTGGTATATTATAAAAAAAAAGCTTTAATTGTCATGAAAATAATGTCACAATGCAAGTATAAGGGAACTAAAATAGCAAAATGTAATCGCATTGTAACCTTGATGTGTATTTTCGAGATTATCTTAGTCTTGGATAATCATAGTAATTTTTTTGTTCTACAGGGAAGTATTTTGATGTTTCAGACATGTTGTTTTTGTCAAGCTGTCGTTAAAATAGCTGAGATTCGTGCCATATTCCTCATATGGTTTCTAATAATGCAGTCTTGTGTCTAGAATCTAATGTTTCCATTTGTACATGACGTCTGAATGTTTATGAATAAATGATGCACAAGATGTTTGATTCACATGCAGTAAAATCACTAAAACTTAAAAAAAGACCACATAAAAATTCACAATCAATGAAATAACATTTGATATTTAATATATATATAGTATATAAGTTATGTAAATAAAGTTACTTTGTAAATTACAATAAATCATGATTACAATAAAATCATCCATAACCAAGAGAATTACTAACTTGAGAAGATTTTAATCGAGGTGACTTTGGCCTTTTATCATAGACTTGCACTGAGAGCACTAATATGTCTATCATTTCTTTTATGAGTGCGTTATCTGCATTCTTTCTTTTGATTTGATTAGTACACATCCTGGGCTTTTTAAAATGGTATGGGTGTGCATTTAATGTTAATTAATAAGCCTGAAATGCAAAACATGCCCCACTTTAGGGCAATTCACCCTGTGTGATATATTTTTAATATTTAATATTTCTAAAATTACTTTACTATAAAAACAATTAAAGGTTTTTAAAGAGACCCTATAACGATTACAATCAAAGAAATAACAAAATATATGTATTTAATATAAACTTAAATATTAAATTGATATATATATGTTTAAATATTTTATTTTTTTATGAGGAAATAATGAACCAATAAAAATAAATATTAAAATGACAAACTTCTGCTGTACTAAAAAAACTAATAATAATAATAAAAAAAAGAAAATGTGCTTTATAATTGTAATTAGTGTAAAACTACATTTAAAGATTGTTCAGTTGGACAATAAAAATACAACCAATAATTTAAATACAATCTTTAATATTATTAATTTTAATATTCAAAAGTATTTTAAATATATTTGTATTTTATTATTTTATTTACAGACAAGTGTCTGGAAAAAAAGTACATGATGTTGTTTTTGTCATGCTGATATTTCACAGATTTCTGTCATATTCTTCATATGTTTATTAACGTTTATATTGTGTCTAGGATCTGATGTTTCCATCTGTACATAATGTTCGATTGTGTTTAAGAATAAATGACGCACAAGATAGTGCTGGATAAATATATATTATATAGCAAATCCATATTTATATTTTATAAATCACTGAAAGCAACAACAACAAAAGGAAAGATTTCATGGTGCAAATCAACGTTTACAAACCGTCTTTATCGCATGATTATGTTAAAAACATCAAAACTAATCGCAGTGAGAATCCCTGAGAGCCTCCAGCAGTGCGGCTTCGATGAAATATGAAAGCATTTGCATCAGGATTAAAGAGAAAATAATGTTTTAAATCTTTAAAATGTGCACAGCTGTCATCAATCTGGCCAATTCAATCAAGTATGCAAAATGATGGCGTAAAATCAAATAATAACTCCTTTGCACTTTTATGCCAGGTATAACGGTTCAATTAAATCCAAACCCATCCAGAGAGAGTTTGTTAGTGTAATTGGTCAGTAGTATTTAACTCGCTCATCTAATCGTCAGTAACATGTTTCTAATGGTAACCAGGTGTGTGCATCGGGGGCGGGGCTTGTACCGTAAGGTATCAGATGATTGGCTCCAAAAGGAAAGATTTCATGGTGCAAATCAACGTTTACAAACCGTCTTTATCGCATGATTATGTTAAAAACATCAAAACTAATTGCAGTGAGAATCCCTGAGAGCCTCCAGCAGTGCGGCTTCGATGAAATATGAAAGCATTTGCATCAGGATTAAAGAGAAAATAATGTTTTAAATCTTTAAAATGTGCACAGCTGTCATCAATCTGGCCAATTCAATCAAGTATGCAAAATGATGGCGTAAAATCAAATAATAACTCCTTTGCACTTTTATGCCAGGTATAACGGTTCAATTAAATCCAAACCCATCCAGAGAGAGTTTGTTAGTGTAATTGGTCAGTAGTATTTAACTCGCTCATCTAATCGTCAGTAACATGTTTCTAATGGTAACCAGGTGTGTGCATCGGGGGCGGGGCTTGTACCGTAAGGTATCAGATGATTGGCTCGTAGCCCGACGAGTGCGACCTCCTCTTGCGGATCCAAACAAACCCTCCACCCACGATAATGATGACCAGAGGAGTGCCAAGTCCAACGGCTATGATGATAATGATTAACGTGGAGAACGAGTCGGCCGGAGGCTCGCCCATGCCCACTAAAACAGTCCTGTGGAGTGAAGCAGAGTTCAGGGTTCAGACAAAGTCCTCAGTCGGTGTGTTTGGCGTCTCTATCAGTCAGTCACTGGTAATTTGATGCCTATAAAACATTGATCTGTTTGTCTGAGCGCCCTGTAACTTGTGACTCGACCAATCACGTGAGTTTGGGGGCGGGGCTATCTGTTTGACTGACCAATGGCAGATGAGGGTGTTCAGGAAACCTGTCCGAAAACAGTCAGTATTCTGTTTTTCAGCTATTTAATATGAGCAGATGTAGTTTAAACGGCACATCTTTACTTTAAATGAGTTTTTAAAAAATATGGGAATTATTGTTGGTCACAATAGTAATTAGTGGGAAACTACAGTCAAAGATTTGGTTTGTAACAAATAGTGACAAATAAATATTTATTATAGTAGTATTATTTTAATGTTTTTCTTAAAATATGCTACAGTAAAATAACTTTACTAAAAAGTAAACTTTTTTAAAACAAAGTAAAAAAGACTCCATAAAAATGCAATCAATGAAGTAACAAAATTAATTTTAAATAAGTGCTGTCAAACGATTAATCGCGGTTAATCGCATCCAAAACTAAAGTTTTTGTTTACATAATATATGTGTGTGTACTGTGTTTATTTATTATGTATATATAAATACACACACATACATGTATATATTGTAAAAACATTTATATTCAAATATAATTTATAATATATATACATATGAATATTTTATATATTAACACTTTTTTTCTTGAATATATATATATATATATATATATATATATATATGCATGTGTGTGCATTTATATATACATCATAAATAAACACAGTACACACACATATATAAACAAAAACTCGTTTGAAAGCACTAATTTAAAATATTTCATATTTCTTCTAACAATTACTACAGTAAAGATCCTTTACTAAAATGTCACTAAAAATTTTAAATTAAATTTTTTTCTATAAAAAAGACACCTTAAATACTATATACATAATAATAAATAATATAATATAAACTCAATATATGTATAAAAAATATTTGAATAATATTTTATTATTTTCCTAACAGTTATTAGTAAATAACTATATTTATTAGTTAATAAAAATATTATTAAAGTAAATGATGAACCAAAAAAAAAAAACTAGTCAAGATCGCTCAGTTGAACAATCAGACCCAATTAAAAATGACAATCAATGAAGTAACTAAATTTAATATTCACTTAATATATATAGTACTTTTAATATTTTCTAGTATTCAAAAATATTGTAACATTTTAAAAATATTTTATTATTTTCCTCAGAAATCTAAGTGCAAAATAAACTACGTGCATGCAATATCGTGGTCAGTTAAGTCAAGAAGTTACCAAAAATGTGATTAAAGCTGCATTAAAACTGTGCATGCATGTAATATATTTTATTTGAGTCACATTTAAGAACATGTCTCTGAAACGGTTTTCCAAACTGTCCTGGAGCCCAGCACTGTCTCACTCATCTAACACCCGATTTAACTCGTCAGCTCATTAATAGAGACTTAAGACCTGAAGTGGGTCAGAAATGTAAAGAGAGTTGAGAGAAATATGATGTGTGTCAGATCCGCGTCACACTCAGCAGCAGCAGCTCTTAAAGTAATAGCAGCCAAAACAACCTAATAACCAGCTGCTGTGATGTCTATTATTCAAAGGACAAAGAGAAAAAAAAGAGGAAAAAATTACTTTTACAGCTTTAAGGATTCATCTCTATTTAATTTAGTGTTTGATAACTTCAATTTCTGTATATTTTTGCTGAAGGGCACGGGTAAATATGACATTTATTATAATGGGTTTATATGAAGATTGTTTTAAGTTCACTTAAATTAGAAGTTATTTTTTAAAGTCTAATAAATGTTAAAATTGATAGCTCTCAATTATACTGTAATGCTGAATGGCTAGTCCATGGTTAAATATAGGGGGGGGGTTTATAGAGAAATCAGTATTGGTATCATTGATACTGGCCTTCAGTCATAAAAAAAAGATGCCATTAAACAAATATTAAAAAATATACTGTCTTTATGTTGTTTGTACATTAATTTGAAGATTGAATGTGAAATTATTGCAATATAAAAGAGTATATACATTAATTTATTCCAGCAAAACAATTTGTTATGAGTTAAATCAGGTAGAAATAGCTCTTTAAGATAAACACGTTTTACAATGTGCCTCCGTCCCTCACAGCCTCGCTTTATTGATTGTTCTCAGTTCAGTCTCTATTGCTCATCACACTCACCAGCTGATGTATTTGGTGTCACTGTAAAGCACTGGGTCTTTATCGATGCCGAAGCTGATGTTCAGGCCGTACGTCTGAGGATCCTCTGTGAAATACGCCTGAACCAGACCGGACTGAGGGATGCGCTTCATGGACACGAGCTGGGAGTGTTTGCATGGTGTGGTGTCCTCAAACACCGGCTCGGCTTTACGATACGCCACGGGCTTCCACTGATTATAACCCCACACACCGCTGCTGTTCTCCGGAAACGACACCCACTGAGACACCTGACACGAGAGACGGGATTCGTCCTCAAACACCGGCTCGGCTTTACGATACGCCACGGGCTTCCACTGATTATAACCCCACACACCGCTGCTGTTCACCGGAAACGACACCCACTGAGACACCTGACACGAGAGACGGGATTAAAACACTCACAGCAATCAACTCAGCACAACTTACACCAGATTTCACATTGATGCATTTACGCTTTTATCCAAAGCAACATTTCGGTAAGACTTAAAGCCTTTATGCATAATGCATTATAAAGGTATTCATAAGGTACACTGTAATGCATTGTATCTTTTCCATAAAAAAAACATAACCAAAGATTAAAAAAAATCTAAAATTAAAATGCATTATGCTATTTGAAGGTTTGCTCGTCATGTGTAACTGTGGTTACAATTATTCCTGAGATCACTATAAGGTGCATTACAAAGCATAACTATTACTACATTAAAACGACTTTCATAATGCATTATATAGAAAGGCTTTAAGTAAAGTGTTACCAGCATTTTAATTGTTTTTTTTAACCCCCCATTTTTGAACATAGACGTGAAAGTGCACTATCTGAACTTAAATTGTTATAATTAATCAACGCTTTTGGACTCTTTTTAAAGAAGACAATCAGCAGATTATTGTAGACGTGGAATCATTTCAAAATATGAAAGTATCAAAAAGTTATAGAAGTTTACATTTACTGTAAATAAAATGCACTGTACATTTTTTTATATATTTTATATAAAATAAAAAGAATTTCATAACAGGTCTTACTCTAAAATTGCTATAAAATTAAAGCCTTATGTCTAAATAAGTTATGTTCCAAATTTGAAGTTTATATTAAAAAAATTGAGGTTCCGGTGAGATTTTATTCAGGGCGTTATACCACAAACAGCCACCGGGTTTTGATGCATTTTTCTGTCACAAATGTCTAAATTTCTCTGTCAATCTTACTTCTATAACAAAATACCACCAAATTTGGAATCCTGAGACACCTGAGACCATTCCAACATGTATTTTGTCAAGATTATAAAAAGTTTTGATTGTAAAATACCATAATGCATTTTGTAATATGAAACTTGACCCTGCCCACTTAGGGGAAGATTTTAAAGTACAATTTCCATGACCACGCAATGTCCCATTTCAAAATGGCTTTCACAGGATGAATTATGAGTTTTTAAGCTTTTAAATGATATCTGATTTAGGGTGATTACTAAAATATTTGATAGGGTAAAAAGTCAATAAAATATGTAATGGCTGCTGATTGGCCTCGTTTAAATCAGTGCTGGAGCCGAATAAATCTTCATAAATGCACATATGAATGTGTTTTAAGTACTTCATTGTAATATAAAACAAAAATACAAGTGGTTTTATTGCGTGTTCAATAATGTTATTTTCAGTGTCTTGAATACTTGATACTGCTGATCGACACTGATAAACGTCATATGTTGCTGCTCTGTTGTGTATTTGTTCTTTTTATTAACTAATGTTAATGAATTAATACTGTAGTAAAGCTATTGCTCATTGTTAGCTGATAAATTAACTAACCTTATAGGGCTGGGACAATAAATCGATGCATCACGATTCGTGGATCGATTCTGAGATTTTCGGAATGCATCTAGATTCTCTCTCGAATCGATTCTGAGATTAGTTTTTAACAGCAGATGGCGCTCTAAGCTAGTTTTTAACCGCACACTCAAATTGTCACGAAGAAGAGCGCTTGTGCGTTTGGCTGAGTAATGTAAGTGGTTAAATGTACTTGCACATGGGCTTTTATGATGTAAGATTAATGTAAACACAGCCCACTGTGAACATCCTTTTCTGAAGTAATTCGCTTCAACCTTTTCGAACTTTATGAATGATTATTTTAGGTTTAAGTGGCACGTGTGTAAGGAACTTGAAGCAAGCAGAATACGGCGGCTTCTAAAGCACGCAGTGCCATCTGCTGTTAAAAACGAAGCTCAGAATCGATTCAAGAGAGAATCGCGATGCCTTCGGAAAATCTAAGAATCGATGCAGAATCATTTCTCGATTCGCGATGCATCGATTTACTGTCCCAGTCCTAATGTGCAGGTTTGCTGTGGTTTTCACCTTGAAGATGGAGGGTGTGTACTCATCGTCTATGGAGCTGTGGACATCCACTCGTCCCTGGAATCCAGAGTCGCCTACAGACTGAAACTCCAGAGCGAATCTGGAGCGGTTTCCTCGCGGCGTCACGCCTTCCAGCCACACGTGCAGCTGCGAGGAGTTGGCGTTATGATGGAGACTCGGCCAGGCTTTATCACGACCCTCCGATTCAAACGCTGAGAACTGATGACAGAAGAGAAATCAGACACATGAGTCACTTTATTGGCGCTTTTCCACTGCGTGGTATGACTCGGCTCGGCACGGCTCAGTACGGCACGGTTCGGCTCGGCACGGTTTGCGTTTCCACTGCAGTTCAGTACCGCTTAAGAGGGGGCGGGATTATTCACATGTCGTTATAGTTGCGCCACCTCTACTACCACGACTCCTAAAAAAAACGTTTTCATTCCGCGTCGCCCCATCAAGCTCTCGCTGGATCCGCTCCTCTGCTATCAACGAGAGGAATGTCTGTTCTTCCACAAGAACAGACGTTTGTTAAAAAAGGTGCGCTTGTTCAAAACAGTTGCGTTCGATCCTTCGCTGGCTGTGCTGATTTAAATCTAGCGGGTCTTTTGTGTTTGTGTCACAAGTTCAGTGACGCAGGTAGTGATGATTCTCTCCGGCCAATCCGTGATCAGCAGAGTTTACACGTCACGTTTTGGTAACGGTACGGTTCACTTGGAACCCCAACCGAAGTGGTACTAAAAAAAGTACCAGGTACCAGGTACTGTACCCAGTGGAAACCCCCCAAAAAGTGAACCGTACCGAGCCGTACCATGCAGTGGAAAAGCGCCATAAATCTACACAGAACATGTTATACGTTTGTCACTGTAGTTCTGCTGACCTGCAGACAGAGAGAGCCGTTGAGGAAACTCTCTGTTTTCTCTCCGCCGCACAGCTTTACCGTGAGATCCGATTGGTTGACGGTTTCGTTCAGGTCGGACCAGATGAAGTTCTGGAGCTCGTATGGAGGGTAAAAGCTGGACTCTGCGGCCTGCTGTGGGTCGGCGGTGTTATTAACATCATCATACTCCCACACCTGAGAAACAGACACAGCAGTGTTTTCACTTTTTCATTTCTTACCTTCATCTTTCTGCAGGGTTGCAAAAAGGTGGAAATATTCCAGAAATTTTGGAAACTTTCCAGGATTTTTGGAATATTCCAGGGATTTTTGGAAAGTTTATGGAAATTTAACGTACATTTTCCACCCCTTAGCAACCCTATCGGTCTGTCTGTAAAGGCATCAGTGTATCATCTGAACGGCAAGATCAGATAAGAATAAACTATTTAGTGTGAATTATAATAATAATAATAATAATAAATCTTATAGCCTAATTATTATAAAACAGCACACTTATTAATAAAAAAAAGGATTAGGCTTGTAATAAACAATTTTAGTGTACTTAATGATATTAATAATAATAATTAAAAGTACTTTTATTAACACTAATACATTTTATTATTGTAGTTATTATTATTTCGAAAAATAATACATTTGATTATTATTATTTAGTATTACTACAAGTTATTATAAAACAGCACATTTAGGAATCAAATAAAAAAGATTAGGCTTTTAGTGTACTTCTGAACTTAAATAATCATTATTATTCTTATTATTATTAATACATGTTATTATGGTAACAATTTAGTGTACTTCTGAACACTAAAATAATCATTATTATTATCATTAATAATAATAAATGTTATTATGTTAACAAATTAGTGTATTTGCGAACTCTAAAATAATCATTATTATTAATAATACATGTTATCGTGATAAAAATTAAGTGTATTTGTGAACTCGAATAATGATCATTATTATTAAAAATTTCATTATTTTTATTTAGAATTACTACAAAATATTATAAGACAGCACATCTATAAATCAAATAAAAAGATTAAGCTTGTAAAACAATTTAGTGTATTTGTGAACTCTAATTATTATTAATAATAATAATAATAACGGTTGTTATTATTTCATACTACTACAAGTTATTATAAAACAGCACATTTATAAATGAGATAAAAATAGTTTAGACTTGTAATAAAACGTGTACTTCTGAACACCAATAATATTAATTATTATTATTATTCATTATAATAAATGTTACTCTTATTATTTAAGATTATAAAATAGCACTTTCATAAATCAAATAGAAAAGATTAGGCTTGTCATAAACAATTTAGTATACTTATATAAAAAAATATATAGTATAACAAATTATTGTTATTAATATTAACAATTCTTATTCTTATTAGTAACAAATATTGTTATTATTACTACTACTAAAAGTTATTATAAGTTATAATATTATTATATTATATTTATTCATGTAATATGTGGGTGCATCAGAAATCGCATACTTCCCTACTATATAGTAAGCGAAAAAATATTATTAAAAAATATACAATTCTGCGATATGAAAAAAAAAACCTCAGATGACTTCAATATAGCTCTATTTGGAAAAAAAAAAAATCAATGATTGGGTGATTTTGTAGGCGAGTAAATCAGCATAGGAAATAAACAAATTACAAGCATAGATAAATAACAGAACAAAGATACAAATGAAATAAGCAGTACTTTATATTTTTCAGCTAAGTCTAACAGTATTCAGGTACAGAAATGTAATAATCAAATGTAAAATAACACTGCATAGTTTTCACTGTATAAATTAAATCTAACAAATCTGTGTTAAAGCTACAAAAGTGATTTGTTGTTTGATTAACGTTCATGACACAGAAAGCCTCAGGAACATTAAACTGCTGTGAACCAATATACTGTTTCTCAGTTGTTTGCCTTCACCTAAGCCATAAGCATCTGTGTTTACAAGGATACTTGCAGAGCACAGTATTTCATAGACGCAGACGTGAACAGAAATCAGTGTTCACGTGCATCTGCATGGCTTTCACCGCGTCTACACCGGACTCGAGTGGCGCAACAAAATACAATAGAACCCATTATAATCAGTGATGCTGTCTGTCTACACTGGATGCGACGCGACAAAATACAATAGAACCCATTATAATCAGTGATGCTGTCTGTCTACACCGGACTCGAGCGGCGCGACGTGACAAAATACAATAGAACCCATTATAATCAGTGATGCTGTCTGTCTACACCGGACGCGAGCGGCACGACAAAATACAATAGAACCCATTATAATCAGTGATGCTGTCTGTCTACACCGGATGCGGCGCGATGCGACAAAATACAATAGAACCCATTATAATCAGTGATGCTGTCTGTCTACACTGGAGACAGACTTTGGGGCCGCTCACATGTCGCGCCTAAAAACACGTGGGGAAAACGCCAGTCGCGCCGCTTTCTCCTTCTTTCCAAAGTGCTCGGGAGCTTGCGCTTTCGTGGCGTCTGCCATTGCTAAGTGACCGTGACCTGTGCTCTCCACGGCGACGCGGAAGTTTCAACAAAGGATAAATGGATTTCCAGCACTGAAAATCGCTTGCAGTAGCTCTGCTACTAAATTTATTTAAAATGGTATCTCTGTACAGCGGTCGCGTCCGGTGTAGACACCGTGTCTGTGTGTGAGCAAAGAAAAATTGCTAAGTGACCGTGACCTGTGCTCTCCACGGCGACGCGGAAGTTTCAACAAAGGATAAATGGATTTCCAGCACTGAAAATCGCTTGCAGTAGCTCTGCTACTAAATTTATTTAAAATGGTATCTCTGTACAGCGGTCGCGTCCGGTGTAGACACCGTGTCTGTGTGTGAGCAAAGAAAACAATCAGTATAAATATAACGATCAGTAGCCTAAACATCGCACATCATGCGCACATCGCGATATCGATGCTGAAACGATATACCGTGCAGCCCTAATATCCAGATTACATTCATACTGTATAGAATATACTCTTTTTACGGTCACAAAGTAATTACTTATTCAGTACCTACTCACAAGAGTATGTGATTTCGGACGCAGCCTTACACATACAGACTTTTACACTCACTCTGGTGAACAACTTTTACACTCACTCTGGTGAACACTAGTGCGCTGCTGTACCGCACACTGGTCTGCGGCTCTACCCTCAGGCTGCCTGATGAACTGCGGTTGATGAAGGAGGGCCAGTCCACCTGCACTGCTGACTGTGTGCTGTAAGTGTGAACCATCAGCAGTGCTGGAGCTCCATGATTACACAGCAAGAAGTGCAGCGTGTCATTGAGCCCCAGTCCTCGCACATGAACCAGACCCACTCCGGGAGGAAGAACCGACGGAGGAGTCAGACCGGGATTCAGCTCTACAGAGACCTGAGACCACGAGATTATTACTTATTCAGTACCTACTCACAAGAGTATGTGATTTCTGACGCAGCCTTACACAGACAGACTTTTACACTCACTCTGGTGAACACTAGTGCGCTGCTGTACCGCACACTGCTCTGCGGCTCCACCCTCAGGCTGCCTGATGAACTGCGGTTGATGAAGGAGGGCCAGTCCACCTGCACTGCTGACTGTGTGCTGTTCGTGTGAACCATCAGCAGTGCTGGAGCTCCATGATTACACAGCAAGAAGTGCAGCGTGTCATTGAGCCCCAGTCCTCGCACATGAACCAGACCCACTCCGGGAGGAAGAACCGACGGAGGAGTCAGACCGGGATTCAGCTCTACAGAGACCTGAGACCACGAGAGAGAAGACCAGATATTGAACACAGACAACCCTTTATACCATCAGATGAATTATAGAGATGTCAGATTCATTTCAGAGTATGTGTTGTTGAAAATATGTCAGGGTAAAGTTATCCAGCTGACTAAGACAGATGACGTTTGTTGAAATTTTAAATAGCAAAAACTGACTTTTGATAGTCTTAATCAGAAATGTTTTGCTCCATATGCTAATATTTTCTTGCAAAAGTTTCTTGTTTTTATAAATGTATAGTTGCCATATTTATATAGAGTTACGATATAGTTAGGCTATATAACTCAAATCATTGGAAATGGAAAAAACTAACACATTTTTGTAGTATTTATTTTTTATTAACATTTACATTTAGTCATTTAGCTGATGCTTTTATCCAATGCAACTTACAAATGAGGACAACAGAAGCAATCAAAACCAATAATAATTGTTGTGAAGTGTTGTGACAAGAAAAAGTGTTGTTAGTGTGACAAGTCTCGGTTAGCATAACGCAAGACACAGCAAGGTTTTTTTTAAATAATAAATACAAATAAAACAAGAAGATAGAATAGAAAAAGAATTAGAAAATGCTAGTGTTAAGAGGGTATTTAAAAAATAAATAAATAAAACAAGTAAAAAGAATAGAAAATGCTAGTGTTAAAGAGTCATTTTTTTTAATAATAAATAGAAATAAAACAAGAAGATAGAATAGAAAAAGAATAGTGAACGCTAGTGTTAGAGGGTCATCTTTTAAAAGTAATAAATAAAAATAAAACAAGATAGAATAGAAAAAGAATAGAAAATGCTAGTGTTAAAGAGTCATTTTTTAATAATAAATAAAAATAAAACAAGAATATAGAATAGAAAAAGAATAGAAAATGCTAGTGTTAAAGAGTCATTTTTTAATAATAAATAAAAATAAAACAAGAATATAGAATAGAAAAAGAATAGAAAATGCGAGTGTTGGAGGGTAATTTTTTATAATAAATAGAAATAAAACAAGATAGAATAGAAAAAGAATAGAAAATACTAGTGTTAAAGAGTCATTTTTTAATAATAAATAAAAATAAAACAAGAATATAGAATACAAAAAGAATAGAAAATGCGAGTGTTGGAGGGTAATTTTTTATAATAAATAGAAATAAAACAAGATAGAATAGAAAAAGAATAGAAAATACTAGTGTTAAAGAGTCATTTTTTAATAATAAATAAAAATAAAACAAGAATATAGAATAGAAAAAGAATAGAAAATGCGAGTGTTGGAGGGTCATTTTTTTAAATAAATAAAAATAAAACATGTCTAAAGAATAGAAAAAGAATAGAAAATGCTAGTGTTAGAGGGTCATTTTTTAATAATAAATAAAAATAAAACAAGAATATAGAATAGAAAAAGAATAGAAAATGCGAGTGTTGGAGGGTCATTTTTTTAAATAAATAAAAATAAAACATGTCTAAAGAATAGAAAAAGAATAGAAAATGCTAGTGTTAGAGGGTCATTTTTTAATAATAAATAAAAATAAAACAAGAATATAGAATAGAAAAAGAATAGAAAATGCGAGTGTTGGAGGGTCATTTTTTTAAATAAATAAAAATAAAACATGTCTAAAGAATAGAAAAAGAATAGAAAATGCTAGTGTTAGAGGGTCATTTTTTAATAATAAATAAAAATAAAACAAGAATATAGAATAGAAAAAGAATAGAAAATGCGAGTGTTGGAGGGT